TGATGAAACCATGGTGGAATTGTTCATTCTTTCATTAATTATCTAAAATGAGATATGGCATTGACAGTTGCTGAAGGTCGTCTTTGCCTCCAGTTGTTTTGCACAGAGCTGTATAAACATTATCTGCTGTGATTTACATAAACACTTAGGCAAGCACTATCCTTAAGGAGTAGCAAATATACATGTCTTCAGTGGAAACGGTTATATTCTCAACTACTGCAATCATTAGTACGTGTTTGAATCATAGTAATATTTAAAGGCCTATGGAGGACTGGTGACCCCAATGAAAGTATTTATGAGTGTGTTCTGCAGGGACAGCCCATCTTGACGTGCTCAGAGGCAGAGTAAGCGCCTTCCTCACCTAACATGACACTGGACACTCCTGAGCATTCAGGTGACTTGCGACTTAAAGGTGGGAGAAGGGCAGGCCACCAGCTGCACTCAGAGCTGTGTTTGCAGGCTCACTGCAGTGAAAGGCAGCTGAAAGCAGCCTGTGACATACAATATAGGCATTCCCTTGCAGATGCTTACAGATTGGAGGCCCCTGACCCCTAAGTATGGAAACCACAACCCCCATTCTGAGATTTGTACATAGGCTTCACACTTCTCATTACAAACTCTTGCGTAGATGTGCTCTCCGCCCTGACGTTAAGCATACATGTACAGCATAGCGTTCTAAGTGCAGACTGGCTAGGGAGGAAGTAAACAGTATTTCCTCAGCACAGTGTCTAACACAGGGCTGTGTTTTAGGGCTAGGAGGGATTTTTAGACCCTCAGAAGAGATAAAATGGCTGGTGAAAGTCTAATGCACAGTAAATACATAGCTTATGTACTTTGTGGTTACTTTTCTTAGCACAGTCTCCAACACCAAATAGTTTATTAGTGTCATGATAATGCGTTTCAAAACTAGAAAAATAAAAACTTAAAGTCAGTATATTACCGTTCACACATGGAGTTAATTCTCTGTATGGCAGTACATATTTTCTAAGACAACTTTCTGGCAGGTAAAATGTCTGTGTGTCTATAGCCAGATCTTTGTCCATATAATTCAAGTAACCTTCATGTAAAGAGAAATATTTGCAAGAAAAGGAGTGCAGAACATAAACAGCTAAATTGTGCATTTTCCAGCAGTAGGGTAGTAACTCATGTATCTGATATCAAATCCCATGCACTGTCATTAGTTGGACTGCAGTTTCAGTTCATATTGATTTTACATTTGTCAATTTTGGGGTGCCCAAGCTGCAAAACCAAACAAGGCCTATGTTCAGTAACCTATGTACAAACACAGATCCTCTACAGATTTGCAGAATAGCCATTTTGAACACATGGGTATCTCATCTGTTCTCTCTGTTGCAGGAACATTAGGACATCCAAGTATCTCAATCATGAAAACCATCCTTACTCTGCAAAATACCAGTTCATACAAAAAGTCATTTTCCTTGATTGATCATTAGGCATGCCTGTATGTAGCATTTGTCACTACCAAAGTAAAAATCAAGTATTTCTGTTTTGGTTTAGCATAAATCATCTTTGACCATATAGTCATAAGCCACCAAAGAGTAATATATACTCACATATGCCTGTAATTCAAAGCCTATGTTTTGCTGATTCCAAAAAGCTGCTAGGAAATCTTCCAAACATTTCTTGGTTTAAAAGTAAAAATATCTCATTCTCAGATAAGCACAGTGGGATGTCAAGGGTGAGAATATTTGTCCTGGACATCTAACATGAATCCAACCTTACGTGTGACAACTGTACTTTGGAACCCAGTATAATTCCTTTCTTGCCCTCTTCAGAGTAAGTTCCCTGAGCTTTCTTAAATCACTTCTGGGTGGTTCAAAACCAGTGTGTTTTTGTTGTTGGTTGATAGCTGCTGATGACAAGTGAAAAATCTCAATGACCTTTCCTTTTATACGTTTACTTGCTTACTTACCAAAAAAAAACACCGAAGTCAGAATAGCTTTGACATTTGAAAATTCTGGGATTTGGGAGGGGGAAAGGGAAGCTGTATTTCAAAAGCAGAAAACCAGTTCAGGAAATTCCAGTCAGGTCCACTCCTTGGGCCTGTGAGTCTACTTTAATTAGCACTTTCAATTGGCCACGTTGCTGCTAAGAAGGTACTTCTAGGGAGCAGAAATCTCAAAAATGTTGATAATTTAGGATTTGAGAACCAACCTGGCTTAAATGGAAGAAACTGTTCATTAGATATCAAGAGGTTTTTTACTTTGAAACCTGGTAATATTTGTATCAGCTATTTTGCTTTTACTAGAATGTTTACATTTAAAAGTTTCATCAAATTACACACTTTTTTTCCAATCACAGTTTACTTCATTATAGCAGCTTCATTATAACCTATAACAAAGGTTATAATCTTGACTGGTATTTAAAAGCCTCCCCAATCCTTCCATTGAAAGGTTAATTTGAAATACAGAAAATGGGCCACCTTCTTCTCTCTTGGTAGTTCTGTAATAAAAGGTTGATTGTTCAAGTAGCAGTATTCAATTATTTTGTTTCTGATGCTATCTACATGTAAAAAAATCTGGGTAAGCTCAGATGGTCCCTGCAGGCTTTCCAGTTCCAGCCTTCAGTGTAAGGGTGCAAAACCAGAAAATTAGAGCCTCACAGTTAGCATTAAGAATGTAAAGTGTTATGTTGTCAAGTTAAAAAAGCAAATTTGCTTTTAGGAATACCAGTGACATTGAAAAGCTTCTGGAGTGTTTGCCCCCTGTTTTTAGTGAAAACTTATTCTCTGAATATCTTTGCCAGAGAAAAATGTGCTAACTAAGGAAGTCAAAGTCACCCAGTGTTCAGAGAAGCTGCCCAGAATGTAGCTATCCAGTTCTTGTTGAATTAGTCATGATACTAAACATCTGTAACAGACATTGACAACTTATGATATGTTAATAGGTCTAATATAGTTGAAACAGAAAACAAATGTTTCCCTATCTGTGTTTTTGTTTTACTTTTTCCCCACAGGACCTGGGATTCTCAAACGATAGACGTGCAGATCAAAACCAATGAAGTTTATTGCTCTGATGATGGTTGAAAGAGAAACAACACTGACCTCAGAAGTTCAGGGATCAAAATAAATACTAAAAACTAAATAAATACTACATAATGTTAAAGAGTTTTAGCATTTTGCATTGAAACTGAGACCACTGAATAAGGTACTGGAAACACAGTGAGAATACACATCTAGTGTAAAATAAATCAGCTCTCCAAAGGAAAGTGATGCAAATGACTCAAGATGTTTTGAAATTGGTGTTAGTTTTGCTACTGGCATGAATTTTAACCCCAGATTTACTCAGTTTTACTTACTGATCTTGTAAGTGGGAAACCGGAGACAAGAGTCTTTCAGAGAAGAAACTCCATGCTGTTATAATGGTTCCTCTCAAAGAGCAGCAGGAGCTCTCTGGCACTGGAAGGAAGCTTGGCAGTGCTGAACAATCAGATAAAGCACTTTTCATTTACAGCCAGTTGAAGCAGGTCTCTAAACAGATTGGTGCACAGCTGTGTTCTGTTACTTTAAAATCTCAGCTCTTATTTAAGAGAAAGGGATAAAACAGGAACTCAACCAGCACAGAAATGCTGGTAACTCCACAAAAAATGAAGGTTTTGCTAGGAAGTGTAAAATTCCTCATTCATGATTGAAATGTTGTGTTAAATGGTTTGAGTGTGTGGTTTGCTAATGGTCTTTTTTTTTTTCTCTTAAAGAAAACCTCATATGATCTGTGTATCACATCAAGCAGAGCGGCTGGCATCTCGTTCTGATGACCTGCATTGCAGTTCATGTTTGCAAAACTCTGTCATATTTCTTATGCCATCTTCTATAAAAATGTCACCAGTGCCTATGAGTACAATGAGGCTCCACAAGACACACATTCCAAGAAGACCAAGGAGCCTGTGCTGTGACACACACTGTGAGCAGAAGCACAATCCTGCACAAGAAGCAGTTCCTTTCGGTAATTCACATGCTGCCATCCTCCTTCTCCCTTCCCAGCTGTTTCAACCTGTTGCTGAAAGGTAATACTGCAAAATTTTCCATTGCTAGCCAGCAGGAGAGCAGCAGTAAACAATTCGAGGACAACAGCCACCAGGCATATGGAAAGCACTTCATTTTCACTGAGCTGACACATGCAAATACTTTGCCAATGAGAATTCCTACACACTGAAAAAAACCTACCACTTGTTGTTGAAGCACCGTACTTTCTGTGGAATGGAAGATCACTTTAGCAGCTTTTAAATTACCTGGAAATTATTTATTTATTTTTTAAATGTGACACTTTAGACTGGAAAACTACTAGAAAATATAGGCGAGGGAACTGCTTGAAGCTGTCAAGTGGTGGCCAATAGTGACCTCATACTTTCCATTTCCAGTGACATTCATGGCTTTATAAAAAATCTTTTTCATCACGGAGACAGCTGGTTGTTTGGCAAATGCCAGCTAAATCCTCATTTCCAGCTCTCGGGACTCTGTGGCACCTCCTAAGCCTACTGCTCCCTTCCTGCTGCACTTTATGGTGGTTCCTCTTCCAACACCTTGCCACAGAGGAGCAATGGCAGCCAGTGGGGACAACAACCCACAGCGTGGGCGACAGTCTAGATGGGCAATGATGGCAGGCAGCTGCGCCTGGACCCCAAACCATGCTCACCCATGAGGCTATGGCAAGGTTTCCCTTGGGTGTTTTTCCAGACGAGGTCTGGCTCAGCTTGGCCCCTCAGCTGCACTGGTCCCAAGGCCTCCATGTGTATAAAAGCCGGGAGGTGAGGGGAAGGGGCCTCCCTCAGATAGCCCTTCCCTGGCGCTAGGCAATCCAGGACCAAGATCCTCCACACCGGCCTCGGCGGTCGGTCCGCAGCCCATGAGGTCTCCGCCCTGCTCCCACCGAGGGGCAGCTCCGGACGGGCTGAGCTGGCTCCCGGGCGGGTGGCCTCCCGCCAGGCCCGGCCCTCTCTGCCTGGGGTCGGGTAGAGAGCACAGTGCCCGCAAGGCTCAGGCGAGGGGCTGCTCACGGCGCTGGGGACACACAAAGCGGCGGCGGCGGCAGGCACTTTCCCGCCGCCCGTGAGGAGGCAGCCAGCCTTGCCTCCGCCCCGCAGCCAGGCTCGGCGCTGGCCGGGGGCAGCCCCGCGGCGCCGACCATGGAGCCGCCGGTGTCGCAGCCTCAGGAGCAGCCGCCGCGCCCTCGGTCCCACACGGTCACCACCACCAGCAGCTCCTTCACCGCCAACCTGTCCGCCAGCTCCAGCACCCTTGCCTACGACAGGGAGTTCCTGCGGACGCTTCCCGGGCTCTTTATGGTGACCGAGATCGTGAGTGGCCCCGGGCGGCCGGCGGCCGCAGAGGAGCCGGGGCGGGGGGTGCGCAGAGGGGCAGGTTTTGTCCTCGCTATGGGTTGGAGCTTGGGATGTTTCCCCTCGGTTCATCACCTGATGCGGCTTCTGTGGGTCCGAAGGGAAGAGATGGTGAGGAAACAAGGGCGGCTTTATGGGGGGGGGGGGGGGATACACACAGTGCTCCTGCCTCAAAACTATTGACACATGCAAAAGTAACACAGGGCACATACTGTTTTTTTAGTCTCCCGCAGTGCTTGCGGTGTCATCACCTCTCGTAGTGGAGAAATATGTTTTGGCAGACCAGGAACTGTTGGAGGTTTTTCTTTGACTACATTGTTTTATACGCTTTGTACTTCATAGCGCACAGATAACCATTACTTAAAAGTTCATTAGGTAACTTACCTTCATTCTGTGGGTCAGTAAAAACCATTTCCTTATGTCCTCGGTGATTAGATGTCACTGTGCAGAGCGGATTTCGAACTAACACCTTTTGGTGGTGTTACTTTTGGAGGTACTTTATAATGTGTAAATGAATGTACAGAGGACCAGGCAGTATAGGGTTTGGTCCCTTGTTTTAGTACTGTTCGCACTAACAATACAACCCTAGTTGTAGGAGGGTCTTACTTCTACTTAGAGCATGCCTACTCTTGTTGTGTTAAGCAGTAGATACTCAGCATCTCCCCTGAAAGCCAGTGTTTCTTTCAGGTTTGCTTATCTACACGATTAGTAGTTAAGGAAGTTAAAGGGCTGGTTGCGCCCCCTAATTTTTTGAGTTTCCAGTGTGATTTTGCTTTAGATTCATTTTCAGGGCTTGAAAACATTGTGCTTCACCAGAGCAGCGGAATGACTGTTGATTTTGCTGACTACAAAGTTAAAATAACCATGTGAAGCTTCAGGCTGAAGTACAGTGTAGGACCTAAGGCAGGAACAGTGCCGTGAGAGGGAGGATGCACACTGAGATGCCAGCCACTGTGCAGGACAGTAGTGGTGAGTGTGAAGTCAGAGCCTGCTACAAGGTACCTTGTATGCCAGCATGGTTGGGAATTCTGGCAATATTTAGCAGGTAGGTGATTGTAGGCTCGTTTCAGTTAAGGCACTGTAAGGGTTTTGGTAGATCTGCGAGTAAAAAAGTCTTCATTTATGGACTAAAGGTGCTCGGGGCTTTTCCCAGGCCCTGCTGGGATGTGGTATATTCAGCCAACCTGCTAATATTCCATCAGCTGCAACTACATTGAGCTACATGGCCATAGGGCATAGACACGCTCTTGCTTACTCTTTGTTGGAAGTGGGCTTTTGTTTTTTGTGTTGACAGGTGGTGATACATGTATAGTTTACCTTTCTAAACAGAGTGATGTTGGGGTTTAGGGGGACTTTCTATCAGCCATTCCTGACCCCTGGAATAATTATAAAACTATTCTTCAGGTACCATTTTTGAAAGGTTTGAATCCACTGTTGTTGAGTTGGTTAATATTGACATTTAGAGCAAGCTTTGGTTTAAGTTTCGTAAGCACTTGAGAACATGTTTACCAGCTTCAGAAAGAACTTCAGCACTACCTAACTTCACAGGCTAGTGTAGAGTTGTGTCTTCATTACAGGCTTCCACATATGTATTTTTATTGATCAACAGTGTGAAGATGCGTAGTTTCTGGCCAGCTCCAAGGAGCTAACAGAAGTCTCTAATGTAGATGAACTTATACTGGGTTTTGATGATGTATTTGAGAAAATGGAGAATGGTTTTAATTCTAAGTTGAAAGCAATAAGGCAGGCCCTACAGAAGCAGAGTATTGCTAGATACTGCCTTCGAGGAAATACTTCTGGTTCTTCACCTATTTTAAAGCAGGTAGAACAGCTGTTCTGTGAAATTACAGGGAAAGAAAAATGTATTAGTGAATATCTTGATGTGGAATTAACTGAAATAAAACCTGTTATTAAAATCCAGTGAGTGAGTGATGTATGTGTGTGTGCATATAGATGTTTGGTACTGGTTTTGGGCAAGCCTCTTCCACCAGTTGTGTATGTTCTTTTTATTCTGGGAGAAAATGGGCTTTAAGGGAGAGAGCATTACTAGCTTTACACAGGATCTCCGTTTCAAAATTGGCTGTGCTATTCAGCTGTAATGGATTTTTGTACAGTCAGTTCCTGACTGTTCTGGTCATCCTATATATATAAAAGTTGAGGCCTGTCTGCACAGATTGGCTCTTTGAGTTATTTCTGACCCTCAGTACTGATCCCCCAGCTCAGAGCATGATCTTTCTGCTAAGGATCTGCAAACCTGCAAATAGGACAGACTTGTGTGTGTCTGAAATTCAGCCTCATGAGTTTGGAGCCCAGTGGATCATTTTGTCATAAGAGCATTAAGTTTGCTTCTGCTGCCCCTGTTCTGGAGACACCCACAAGATGGACAGGGAAGAGGGCTGGGTTTAGTTAATACGCTGTTATTGCTATAGCTGCTCATCTGCCAGACCCTGCCCCCCCCCCTCCACCCCCATTAGGATACTATGTTAAAGCTAAGCTAGGGGTGTTAAACAACAGTGCTAAATGTTCTGAGAGTTTGCACTGTGGGGCTGCATAAATATTTGATTATTGTTGCTGTCAGTCAATGACGTGTATGAGCAAGAAGAGCAGTCTGTCACCCCTGGCTCTGAAACTGGAGCTCTCTTCTCTGTATAGGCAAAGGGCAAATCTGTGTTATTCTTCAACCAAAGAGAATGGAAAAGCACATTATTAAATCTTAAAGCCCCTTAAATGAAGGATCTAGATCAGGTTTTGCTCTTACTTCCCTAGTTTGGGTGCTGTGAAGATGAATTAACTGCCACATGGATTTCCACATGTGTTGTGGTTTAATGACAGTAAATTCAGTTTAACTGCTTCTACTAAGAGATTCTTTGCAGTGCTGCAAAACACTGGTCTGTCATTAACTCAGTTTGCCGTTTCCAATTTGTTCAAAATGAGTTACCTTTATAATGACGGGTTTTATGGTGGATCAGGTATTATCTCTTCTTTATATAGCTGCTTTAAGCCAGCATAAATCTAGGATGAGATTGACTGTGCATATTGAGCAGTAATAGAGTGATGTACCCAAACACAGTTCAGTTTAATTTTGCAATGCATTTGGCGTTGCATTGCACACATCAAGTATGAATGAACCAGAAACGCAGCCTGAAGTGTAGGCTGAATTACCTGGTGCTGCCAGATTTCCTTTGCCTTCTACGTCTGCCTCTGTGACAAGAGAGCGTACAAGGTTTCCTGTCACTCACTGGAGAAGAACTGGGGTTAGTTTATTTCAGTGCAAAGAGGAAAATAGAAAATGCCACTGGGTTTCTGAGAGAGCCATTTGGGAACTGGCTTATCAAAAATACTTATTACTGAAGTAATGATGCTTGCTGAACAGGGCAGGGAATTCTGGCTCTGGAGAATTGGTTTCACTGGCTTTAGCTGGCCAGTGACTACTGACAGTGAATTTATCTGCATCTGACTTCTCTGAATGCCTTATCTATTCATGGAATGTGGATACAAATCTTTGTAAGGCACACTGAGATCTGTTCGTGAAAACTACTATATAAGACATAAGCAGTGTTACATAAAGTCTTCAATTTGGATGTCCATCACCTGGGTTGACACTTCAGTAAAAATACGTCCTATAGAAGATAGTTGATACTAATTTCTATAGTGTAACAGCCAGCCCCCAGAAGGATTTGTAGTTTGAAAAGAAGAGAATACAGCCATTTCCAGAGACTTCTTTTGAGTGTTTCTTTTCTGTACAGTGATGGCCCAGAAAGGCTATATATTTGTCTTCCTGGGTATTTTATGGCCAAGATAAATGATGGTTAGTGATACTTCCTCAGACCTCTAAATCAGCTTCTCAAGTCAAACATTATGGATCACTTTGGAGATGTAGAGAGTTTTGTGGTTGCTATGGTTGTAGTTATAAAAATATTTACTTTCTACCATGATGACACCAATTACTTCAGATTGTTGCTTCACACTGGTGTATTGCTAGATGCAGTCTTTTAAAACTTGCCCTCGTAATTTTAAGGCTTGTGTCCTTAACAAAGCAAATACTCCATAGCTTGGAAAGGTTTGGAAGGTTGTTATGCTAACTGCTGCAAGTGAGATCTTGTAAATTATAGTAAATTGTAATTACAGTTGCATTTCTTTATTCTTTCAGTGAAATGCTTAGAATAAGATATGTACTTGAAATAGAAACCTGACTGGAGGGACTTTACATTATTAGCACCACATAAAATTACGGTTCAAATTTACATTTCTGGACAAGGAAAGTAATTTTGATCACTGTTTCATTATTATTCATATGTAAGATTTCTGAAGGGTTAATTCAGAAAAGAAATCTTACTGAATTTGTTTATTCTTCTAGTAATGTGGTGAGCCTCTGAATATTAAATAGACATTGAAAGGTATGTCAGATTTAAGATATTGAGATTACCAATCCAGAACAACTGGGTATGTCCAAATGTTTATTCAGTAGGCTTTCCCCTTTTTTTTTCCTCTGAGATGCACCAAAATAATCTACAAATATTCAAATTTTGTATTAAGTTATCAATAAAAATAATAAATGTTAACAAAAACAGAAATAATGGAATGGGACATGTACTATGGAAAAGCCGAAAGTTTTACTTTGTTTTTTAAAGCTCTTCTTGTATTTAGCTTTTTCTTTCAGTTTTATGCCCTCTCTGACTGCAGTTCACAGTTTTGTATATAGATTCCATGCTTCTCCTGCACCCCCAGTTGTTGGAATAGCCCTGAGGCTTACAGAAGGAGTTTCATAAAGCCCTTTTCCTCACCTGAGTAACAGCAAGACTTTCTCTTCTCTCAGGAATAGCAGAGATTTTTTTTTTCTGTTTTGTTTTTTTTCTTTAATGCAATTTTTACTCTAGTCATAGCATCCCTGCTTGCATGAAGCTGATAAAACTTGAGGCACTTTCTGACATGCTGAATGAGTGTTTTACCTAGAGGAG